GAAAACCCAAAATTTTATTGAAAATAAATGTCCAAATTGAGTTCATATGTTTTGGAATCATAAACCACCAGATTGGAGGCGTGGTTTTGGAAAGCAGCGAATAAATAATAAATACTAAACTAAAGTAAATTTAAAATAAATTCCAAGGGTCGATCTAATTAAATTAAGTCGTCGATTTAATTTTTTTTCAATTTACTCAAAATGCCTGTCATTTTGCATCATCTTCAGCGCACGGGCACGGAGAATGCATCGAACTAGTTGAAAAACGTGTTTATGAACAAGTTTCAATTCCGAAATAATAGACATTTTCTGCACATTTTAAGCGGTTTTTGAGAGTTCACGATTTTTGGCCGACGATGTTTTCGTTATTATTGGCCCAAATATTTTATAAATGCATATTTCTGACCTACTCACGTCGAACGGAGTCGATTGAGCACAAAAACACGCATGTAAAATTTTGATTTTTGCCCGAAATTTTTCCAAGGGTGGAAGTCGATTTAAAAAAAAATTAAAATTTTCTCGAAATGCCTTTAATTTTGCATCATTTTCAGCGCACGGCTACGGGGAATGCATCGAACTAATTGAAAAGCATGCTAGAAGTTTCAAATCCGAAATAATAGATATTTTCTGCACATTTGAAGCGGTTTTTGAGAGTTCACAATTTTTGGCAGACGATTTTTTCGTTATTATTGGTCCAAATACTTTATGAATGCATATTTCTGACCTTACGTCGAAAGGAGTCGATTGAGCACATTTTCTACTTATATTCGCACTAATAAAATGCCATGTTTCTCTCAAACGTGAGTCTTCACTTCATTGACTACAAAATCTATTTTCTAATACCGTTCAAAAAGTGCTTTTAAACAGCCATTTTTTCCTACAGTCGTGGAAATAAAGAAGGAAATTGTCCCTTTTAAAAAATAAAAATCTATAGAGATAGAACATCCCTGGGCTTGATAGAATTATGAACGAGGTTCTGAAGCCGATTTGAGATGAGCGTATTGGTGAAATAAATAAATAACTAACGTAGACGAAATGAGACGCATGCATAAAGACGACGAAACAATCATAACAATAAAAGAAAGAAAACAGCTATTTTTGTGACATATAATTAAGGTAACCAAATACTACAAGTTCATGCATCATGCAGAAGTAAATGTAAAGAAAAAAATTAGGAAATAGTTGCTTGGAGGTAGTTGGCTTAGAATAACCACGTTGATAATACGCAATAAAACAAAAATTTAAAAATCCTTCATTTATGTAAATGCTTATAAGAGAAAATTAAAATTTTGATAATGAATTACCTGGAGATGATTCTCTGCTATCCAATTCACCTTCGCCGTTCGTACTTTTGAAGCTGGAACTTCGCAAGATCAAACCTGCCTTTGGATAGGTTGTTTGCCGTTCACTCTTCAAAGTTTCAACTGAAATTATATGAAAAAAATTTTCCCTAAATATTAGAGAAAATCTTCACTTTAAACTTCCTGTAGTAAAATTATTAATGTCAAATTATTTTATTAATGATTTTAACTCTACTTCTAATGATTTTTCCATAACGAACTAAACTTTTATTTGTTTCAAAGTCACTTTATGACTATTGTTAACATCGCCAAGCGCAAAAAGTTATTGATGCAACGTTGATAAAATGTAATTTTCTTTTCAAACGCATTACCTTAAATTTCGTTGCACGTTTCTCAGATATCCATTTAGTTGCACCAGTTTTTTTCTTAAACATTAATCTGAACACTCTGTCACATACAACCGTGATTGTTTACGCATTCAAGGACAATACCGACTGCTTTCGAGCAATAAAATGTATCCATTTTTAAACAAATGGGAAAGTTATTGATGTTACTGACCTGCATTATCAATGAATTTCTTTGAGATTTCTTTGACTGAACCTCTGCGATTAACTTTAGTGGTTTTAGTTGTCGATGTTTCGGTGGTGTCGCATATTTCCTAGAAAAAAAGATTATAATTAACGACTTTCCGGCACAGACAAAGTAATTATGGCTAAACAAAGTCAAGCTTTACTATTACTAGACGTCTATTTTAAAGCGAAAAAGGTGTATCCGTTAATAATTATTCAAAAAAGGAAGATATCGTTAATCAAGTGGCTATTAGAAAGTGAGCGCACATCCTTTCGTTCAGAAGCTGTTTTGATGTGTGTTGACTTTAATGGGCTTAAATCTAATTTGCATTTGAATGACTGGTCACTGCTAATTATATTAAACATTCACATACATTCTCGCTAATGGGTTCAAGATGCCAAAATACAGCAGTGAGAATCACAAAAGTTTAAATATTAACCAGTTTGTCTAATAAAAATTCAGTAGAATATATTCAAATGAAAGCAGGCTTTAAAACCTAGGATAAACGCACTAAGCTAAAAGAACATATGAGATAATTAAAGATGCAGATAATTTGCAAAATTGACCTAAAATGCATTTAAATTCTCGCAATTGAAATTAAAACATACATATTGCCATAAATAAAATTAAAAGAATGGTTAGCAAGTGCAGGAATGACAAAAAAGGTTAAAATGCAAAATCAGGAATCAAATTTCGTTATAAACTTAAACTTAAAAAATATACAATTTTACCAGTTGTTATACGCTATTTCTCTAAGAGTCTCTGTACATTAGAAGCATTTTCAATGTCAAGACCTACAAGTCAGATAATTTTTATTTTACTGCACATTTCAAAGTCTCCAGAAACTGTCTGGGATTTTCTTCTATTTACAGCTCAAAAAATATTGTAAATATTTTTATGTTTGTTTCTGTTGCATTTGATAGGCAATTCTTAAAGTAAAACAAACTTTATAGCAGGCGTTAGCTGGCAATGATTTGTTCTTGAAATCAACCAAAGGAATAATTGAATGCAGTTTGTAGTAGTTATTCTATTCAAATTTCATATATAATTTTTAAGTTCTGGGGACAAAGATTATCTTGTTGAAGAATTGAGAAGCTAAACTTTATATGCAATATTAGATTACATTCAGCAATATAACTCGAAATATCCTAGAAATGTTTAACTTAAAATATGTTCGTCAAAATTAGAAAAAAAATCAAATTTGCAGAAGAAAATATTGTAAGTTATACAATTGTAAGTTAAATAATTAATCAATGCAAGCATGGCATTCTAGCAAACATTTCTAGACATTAAAAACAAAATGGAACAAAATAACGACCGATTTTATGCGGTCGCTCTATTTTATATCGAAAAATTCACAACTATTTTCATATAAAATTTAAACATTCTGATTGCTAATGTCCGAATACGAAAAAATTATACACCCTGATTTGAGAATTAAAAATCGCTGAAAAAGAGTATTGTTGCGTAGAAGTTCATGATAAGAATATGAATTATTCTCAATTTGGGTCAAGTTATTATTAAATAGTCGTATACGTTATAAAACACTAGAAATTGCAATTAAACTTTAAATTTAAAATAGTTTACAAATAGACAAAAAAGTGGAAATCTGAAAGATGTCTGGTAGTTCAAAAATATATTTTATAATGTACCAATTACAAAATCTTCGATTTTTTTAGAAGCGTTTCGTATGCTTTTAGTGCCCAATATCCAAGTAAAACTGGGTTCATGTCAGACTGATCTTTTTAAACTTAAATTTTGAACACTTATTTCGAATTTTTAAATCAAATTCTACCTAATTATTGCTAGTACCTGCCTAAATGTACCGTTTTGTTGACAAACTATTAACAATATATTCAACATAGACACACACAAGATGTAACCGACAATGTTATGTTTTAACTGTTAGTAACGTGTTTAAATTAATTGGAACATGGAATAGTTTATGCCAAGAACGTACGTAAATTAAAGTTTTTATTACACATTACATATCAATTGATTCCTGAATGAAAACGGATAATTTAGATAATACCTGTGCGCCAGGTATAAAAGTTAGGCCCCAAATAAGTAACTTAAATTGAAATGTATATTGAAAGGCAACAATAGAAAACTGTTACTGAAGTAATAAAAAACTTGCGGATAATGTACTTTTTTTTTATAAATCCCAAGAATGAACGGCTGAAGATTGAAAATAAATATGTAAAGGAAATTGTATGAAATTAAATGCACGAAACTATTATTACTGCGTAATATAAAATGTCAAGAATAGAATAGTCAAAATATGCATCTTTAGTGTTCTTAATATGGAAGCTGTAGAGGATCGGAGCTTTAATCGAGAATTGGTGCATGCATAGAGTCGGATAGAACTAGCTAAAAAGATAGCACTAAAAAGGGCCAATGGTCATTTATTAAGTGTGAATTGATCACTTTTATTTTCAAACTGTTCGTTTGTAAGCGTTTATTTTGTGTAAAAATCTGCATTGAATGTTAATTTTAAAGTTTCATGGTCAGCAATGTACATAAGCGTCACAAACAAAAGCTTTTTATTAGTGCGTAATAGAAGCATACTAAAATAATTTTAGACATATTACGCACTATTTATATCCTATTAAATATAAACAGATGATAAATCTGCGATCATAAGTCCGCAAATTAATTAAATTTTACTACGTTTTATTGATTTTTATAAGAAAACCAAATTGTAATGTCGGATATAGGACGAAATTGTAAAACAGTAAATGAAATTGCTGATGGAAAGTTTCGTATAAATCTGAGCGATGATTTGTAATTATAAGCTATAACGATTAGTGAAATGCCTGTAAACGGATATGAAAACTAGTAAATGCCTTAACGGCAATTGGATTTAAAAGCCGATATGTAAACAGCTTGCAAATTTACATAAAGTTACAGTTTGGACCAAACAAGTAAAAATGGTTATGCCTGTGAACAGCCCACGTTTATAATGCGGTTTAAATTATTTGTTACCTTTTTCTTGTCGGTGAGACTTTTCAAAGACGGTGTATCTTTATATCCAAATTTCTGGGTGGTGGTAACGCTGGACACTTTTCCATCAACGGCAATAATTCCGTCTTGTTCCAAGTCTCTCGGATCGGTCGAATATTTCGTAACGCTCACTTGGCCCACCGGCTCTTGATCGTTTTCCGAGTAATATTCACTTCGAATCACTGTTCCTTGAACTAAAATTTCAATGTTATATCAATATGAAAAAAACAATTTTTTTTTATGATTCCAGAGATTCTGCCTTCATTTGCCTAAAATGATCACGTAATATACTTAGTAGTAGTACTTTCTCACCTTTTGTTTTTTCATTTTTATTCTGTGCCCTCAGAGCCTTCAGTCCAAATAAAGGTGTACCATTTTCGTCTGTTGGTCCTACGCCATAACTGGACGTGATAATATCCGTGCCCTTAATTTCCTTTGCCGGGCTGATTCTGGAAGTAAACTTCTTGGATGTGCTGGTAGAAGTGTTTGTGCTCTTTTTAACAGTGGTAGCGGCAGTTTCTCTGGTGTTTTTCAAATTTCGCTGCCTCACCCATTCTGGCTGTGAAGCGGACATCGGTGCTTTTGCAGGGGGCACTGTTTTTTTCAAAGTGGTAAACGTTCTTTCTGTGGTTTTGGTTGTGGTCGATCGGGTTCCTCCGGGGATGTTTTCTGTGGTTGTAGTCGTAGTCACTTTATCCGAAGGGAGAAACTCGGTGGTTTTGGAACTAGTTCTTTGAGGACTCGAGCTTTTTCTCGACACTGATGTAATTTCAGTGGAAGATCTGCGTTCATCATGCGAGTAGGATGACTGATATTCGGTAGTCGTTTCCAAGCTACTTCTTCGCCTGTCGACGAGTCCGGAATGCTTGTATAGCTTATTGGAGTCGACGACTTTACGCTCTGGACTAACTTTCCTTGTATAGGTCGACTGATATTCAGTAGAGCTGGTTGTAGTTTCGGGTTTCGGAGCTTTAGATGGGCTGGAACCTCTTCGAGTAATGGCCTCACGTGATACTGATTTTCTTTTCGTAATGTACTCTTCTAGGGTACCTTCTGTTATCAGCTTTTTTACTAGGCGAATTTGGGTGCGAATCTTCCTTCTCAGTTCGTAGCCAGTTATTTTTTCAAGCTGCAAAAATATGAGTTTATGAACTGCCTAAAAGTACAGCCTTTACAAAAGTGAAGAAATATTAAACTTATTTAGTTAGGAGAGTAGAGCAAAGATCAGTTTAGTTGCGAGTGTCCATGGCTTAAGTAAAAATAACTTGGCTTTGGAAATTTTTAAGAATCTTGGAAACATGCACTGCTTTTGGCAAGGCTAGAAAAAATGTAAGGAATCAAAATATTTAGAAATTGTGTAATACAACACCAATGGGAACGTTGCCACAATTTACAAATCGTGTACAACAAAGTAAACAGCTATTGTCAGAGACAAGATCAGTTACATCACACAACAACAGTAAAAAATGTAATTCGTATGTTTCCATTACATACCTACAGAGAACGGGTCAAATTACAATATTATTGAACTTGGCAAGAGATTGAAGCTCGATTAGGTAAATTAAGCTAAAAAACTGTCTATTAGAAGAAGTGTGACTTTAGTGAATTTGGGTCTATTTCTTCTCTTAAGAAATATTTTGCCTGAAATTACATTTTCCATGAAAAGTTTCTGATCAGTACCATTTGACTTGATATAACGTACATAAAATTTTTTTAATCAAATTTAATGCAAAACGTTTAAAGCATCAGCAAAATGCTACATTAAAGGCCAAACACGTACACAGGAACTAAATTTAAAATTTTGTACTTAAATGTCTACCAAAATAAGTAGGTTTTCACATATTTAAATGCCTAAATGATATTTGATCTGTTAACATTTTCTTGGGTGAATAAAAAGTGTACAGAAGTATCAGGAGGTTCTAAATATTTCCATTTCTGTTCACATTTTACAACGTTTTTTTTTTCGAAAAAAAATGATTTCACCTCTTAACCTTTAATTATGCAACAACACAACATTTTCAAAGTTTCCACAAATCCGTATTATCAATTAAAAATGTATTAAAATTAAACGCTGTTGATAATTTCAGAAAACTGAATCCTGTATTTTTAATTTTCAAATTAGCATTCCGTAGAAGCAGAATTTGAACTTGTAGTTTTGTTATTGGGTTAGATTTAATCAAAGGGGCCGTCAGTTTTCAATACAAAGGTTAGATATAATCAAAATATACGTTGTCCTAATATAAATCGTTAATTTTCTAACTTTGTGAAAGTTCTATCATTTTTAGTTGTCTCTTCTCTTAAGCAAACTCATAAAATATTTTCCTGTTGACATTACAGTCAAGGGCATCTCATGTAAACCACGCTGTACGTACCAATTCCTCCAAAACTTCCAATTCAAAAATCTCCTCAATTTCCTCCTCAGTGATCCGCTTCTCCAAGATAATACTGCTTTTCCTTCTTTCGGTTATAGCAGAATTCTCTGTTGTCTTTATGGTCCGGCCCGAATCAGTTCTTCTCAATGTAACCCCAAACCGAGTTGATCTAGCATCCTGTTCTACAGGTTGAGGTTTAGCTGTAAAAATCACGTAAAATTTCACATAATTCTTTTCAATTCTTTACGAACTTGGACTAGAACCATCTCGATGAGGACTGTTCGGTCTTAGGCTTCTATCTAACGGTTTCATGTAATGTGGTAAATCGCCATCGGGAGTTGGTTCTCGACTTCGGGATTTACTGCTAACAATTTCCGGCTGGGGTTCGATGATGTCGGGAATTTTATCGGGGGATCTTGATCTGAATCTCTTCACTTGGATTCTTTCAGGAGATGCAACTCGCTGAGGTGATTTCTTTGGCGATTGCGATCTTCTGGATGTTGTTTCACTCACTTTCGTAGTCCTGGTTGCCCCTGAATCATCTATTAAATAAATCGACAATACAATCACAGTACAAAAAGCATCTAAGTTATTATTTTAAATGAAAAACGCTCTGACCAAAATAGGGAACGAAAATAGTGGTATGTACTGTGCAGCAAAAATCAGTCGCGAATTAGTAGCTTAAACGAAAATTTTGATCATATCTATTTTAAGCGAAACTCCTAGAATTTAAAAAATGTTTTCATTATCAGATTTGCATTTTTCAGTATACCATTTACTTGAAACCAGTTTGTAAATGTGTTTTCCGTTGATTCACTTTTGCTTACTGCAAAACATGTGGTGCTTGAATCTTGATTCAAATTTGAAACGAAATGTCGAAAGTAGGAACGAAAACTTCAAATAGATTAAATTCGCAGTAAGCAAAGCAGTTAATTGTGTATCTTTTATGCTTTCAATTCGGATTTCGAAATAGAAAAACATGAGTTATGGTTTAAAGTTATGGTTTTGTACCTGAAAATATTATAAATTATCATTGGTACTGAGAAATGAACAGATGCAAACAAGTTGCACATTTTAAAGCAGAAAAATGGAAAAGATAAAATTACGTTATAAAAGTTCCTTTTTTTAATTCAAAAAATTGCCAAAAATCTGAATTTTTTTTTCACATTTTTAAGGCTCATGAACAGGTTTAATTCTTCAAACTTTAATTTTTAAAATCAGTTTCTAATCTCATAAAAAGCGAAACACTGATATATTAATTAAAGTTTAGTTAAGCGACAAAATGTTTTGTTGTGAATCTGTTCTGAAGTGAACAAGAATGAAAATATAAGAAATGAGAGCAGATTTTGTTAAGAACTAAAAGAAGAAAAGCAATGAACTTTTTATTTTTTTCCTTCATTCACCAAATATCTCCAGTACTAGTTGGGGTTTCTCAGATTTAACGTTTACAAATTGGTCATCATTATTCTGCCCAATTTTAGCTTCAAATGATTCAATTATCTTATACACTTTTGAATGCGTATACGTTTAAATCGCGTAATAAAAGCTCAGAGATCCAACCAAGAGGAAAAGAAGAATTTATTTAATAAGACGAAACAATGCTATGTAACTAAAATTACATCTATTACTTACCTGTAACTTTTTTCAAAGACAGTTTCTTAGTGGTAATCTCCTCCTTGTCCTCCACATTAAAGTTTTTCTCTGTTTTCGCCGTCTTCTTACCCTCGAACACAGATGGCCTAGATAAAATATCTTTCTGCCACTTCGTTTCCTTAGAATCGACATTTTCAAACAGTGCTTTTGCTTTCTTAATACTCTCAGTGCTTCTGAGTCTAGTTGCGCTGCTGATTTTAGGGTTTGGTTCCTCTTGTGAAGGCCTTCGCGTGGACTTAGGTGTAGAGTCCGGTGAAAATCGATCTGAAGGCGAATATCTCCTTTCTGTTGACTCTGTATGCAGTATACTGGAGTACTGATTGGATGGTCGTCTGTTTGGAGTCTTTTGCCCTGGAGAGGGCGACCTGCTTCTTTCAGGCGATATTCGAACATTTGTTTCTTGTATCTTTTCAGTTTCTATGAGCTTTTTGGTAATGTTTTTCTCCGGCGATTTTCTATCGCTTTTAGTGGGTGAGGGAGTTGGCTCGTTCAATGTGGGTTGAATGTCAATCTTTGAAAGGCTCACTTTCTTAGGAGGGGTGGTGGATGTTAACTTTTCTGCAGTAGAAATAAACTTGCTTACTTTATCCGAAACACTCAGCATGCATTCGTCTCGCTTTAGGGTTTCGTCTACTTCATCCAAATCGGGTCGAGGCACTTTGGATGCAGGCCTTTTTTTAGATAGTGTGGTCTCTTCGACGGAAACATTAAAGTCAGTGACCTTTTTCTGGATATTCGCTCTTACTCCATCCTGAGCTTTTGGTCGAGGACTTTTCGGCCTATCAGGCAAACTGCTCGTATTGAGTTGATCAGCAGTGTTTATAAATCTGCTGACTTTATCAGACACACTAAGGAGGCACTCATCTTCTTTGAGATCATCAGATACCTCAAAGGTAGGTCTTTCCACTTTACTGGCTTTTGATTTGATGGGTTCTTTAGTTAGCTGTTCCGCCGTGTTGAGGAATTTATCGATTTTTTTATTGATTGTGAGAAGACTCTCATCGGTTGCCTCTACTCTATCCACTTTGCTGATCTTTGTCTTGGTGTCGGTGATGTCTGTTATTCTGCTGACTTCACTAATGTCCTCAGTTTCAAAAATTGGTAGGTCGGATAACTTCTTCGCTCTCCTTCTCAGGGATCCGTCGTCAGGTTCACTGATTTCATCCGGATATCTGGCTGGCAAAGAATCTTCGTCTTCTTCATCGCTGGTCATTGGCCTGGGGCAAAGCCTGTCTGGAGTAGGTTCTCTGGAAGATTTGGACCTTTGAAGATTAACAATAAAATCACGATCCGGAGTGTCTTCATTGGTTATTTGGACGGTCTTGGTTGTAATAACTCTTTGGGTAGATTCTTCATTGTCTGAGTCCATATCAGATTTGGACAATCCTCGGACCGGCGCTGATCTGGTAGATTTAAAGGTTTGGTCACGAGTACGAGAAGATTCTTCCCGTCTATCGGTTAGATCAATAAATGATCCTTCAGTGCTTTCCACCACAGAATCATCATCAGTATCAGACGCATAGCCATTGGTGACTTTGTCACGTCGGTATTTGGTTGTTGTTGCTGCCGTTTTTGATGTTGTTACGGAAGACTTTGTAGTTGGTTTGGTTTTCGGACTGGCTTTGGAAGAAACCGTAATTGTAGTGCTTACAACGTGTCTTTTGGGTTCAACAAGTCGAGTTGTTTTCGGCTTATCATCTTTCACAGGTTTTGTGATATATCTGGATGGTGTCGCAGTGGTTTGCTTCGGTTTCACTTCAGCTACCGGCTTTGCATTTGGACTGACATTGGCAGGCCGTCTAGTTAAGTTTGTCAATCTGACTGGCGATTCTTTCGGTTTTGGTTTATTTGCATCGCCATTAACAAGAACGGTTTTTGTAACTTTCTTCTTCGTTACGGTTTCATCAACCCGATTGGTTCTAATGTGAACCGACTTGTCCTCCCTAAGTTTTGCCGAACGCTCAATGTCATGCAGAGTGGTTTTCTTTTCAGGTTTCAAAGGCTTTTGCGTTGGTTCTTTGGTGATTTTATTTACCTTAGAAAATTGATGTTGATATTCAGTCGCTCCGATAAACTTCGTTTTTTCCACTTTGTAAGTGGTCACTGGCTGCTTTTTGAGTGTGGGGATTTTGGCTGGACAGTTTGGAGATTTGGGGGATTCTTTTTTGGTAACTTGACAGCAACTGCTGATGGTACAACAATCGATGACTTTCTTTGATGGTGTCTTCTCCGGGGCTTTTCTCACCGGTGCCTTTTCTTTTATGTTGGACGAAAGCCTCACATCAGCTTTTGTGATTTCGGAGGTTGTGGTGAACTTTTTCACACTTGGCTTTTTCGGAGATTCTTTTCCATTTGTGAGCGGCGTATCTTTCTTCACGGATTTCCTGATATCTTCACTATTTCGAGCACTTTCTACAATTTCTGATTCGATAAGTTCCTGAGTGGTCTTTTTTTTGTTCAACCTTGTGACCTCATCAGCTTTGCATAGTTGCGTAAATATTTTCTTTTCTACAACTGGTTCTTGGATGGGTACTCGATTTTCCACATACTGAATAGTTTGGTCGGTTACAACTTCCTCGATATCTTCACTTTCAGACGAAGTAGAACTTTCCGACCTGAGATGTTTTCTTGGCGATTTTTTCGATGAAGTTGGATGCTTTTTACTTTTTGGTAATTGTTCTCTTGGCCGTTCTGGGGATTTGCTAGGAGCACGGTCAGGTGATTTGCTTGGAGCTTTTTGACCAGGAGAAGGTCCTGTTGAAGATAGATTAGGGATCCTTGATTTTTCAGGTTGCTGCTCCATTGGTTCTCTTGTTGGAGACTTTCGAGTTTGTGAAGGATATTCATTAATAGTGGGAGCAACTTTGGTGGTTGGAACTTTTTCGGGGTAAGGCTCCGCTGGATGTCTTTCTGGAGACCTTCGAATTTGAGCTGGAAACTCGTTAATTCTTGAAACTGATTTGGTTGGTGAGATTTTTTCGGGATAAGGCTCCAAACTCTCCTTTTTGGGTGACTTTTTACCCTGACTGGAAAACTCTGAAACTGTTAGTGCAGTTTTAACAGGAGATTTCTTTTCCGGGTAGGGCTCCAATGGTTGCCTCTCGGGGGACTTTCGCTTTTGTCCCGGATATTCTGAAATTGTCGTTGACGACTTGGTTGGTATCTTTTTCTCAGGATATGGCTCCAACACCTCCTTCTCTGGAGATTTTCTTGCTTGTGCCGGAAATTCACTTATTGAAGGACCGATTTTAGTCGGAGATGTTTTTTCGGGATAACGTTCCAAAACCTCTCTTTGAGGCGACTTTCTACTTTGGGAAGGAAATTCGGAAATTTTTGGTGATGTTTTAGTGAGAGATTTTTTCTCCGGATAAGGCTCTAGTGGCTCCCTTTCCGGAGATTTTTTGATTTGCGATGGAAACTCCGAAATGGTTGAAGGTGTTTTAGCAGGCGATTTTTTTTCTGGGTAGGGTTCCAAAGGTTCCTTTTCCGGGGATTTTCTGATTTGTGATGGAAATTCTGAAATAGTTGGGGCCGTTTTAAGACAAGATTTTTTCTCCGGGTAGGGCTCTAATGGTTCTCTTTCTGGCGACTTTCTGCTTTGCGAAGGAAATTCGCAAATTGTTGAAGCAATTTTCGTAGGCGATTTTGGTTCAGAATATTGCTTTAAAGGTTCACGTTCCGGAGACTTTCGTGTCTGGGCAGGAAATTCGTCAACCGATGGGACGCATTTGGATGGCAATTTATGATCGGGATAATGTTCTGAAACTGCTTTTTGAGGAGATTTTTGTGTCAGGGACGGTAGGTCCGAAGAAGGTTTTGTAGGGGACTTCTTATCAGGATATGCAACGGCTTTTTCTGGAGATTGTCTGATTTGTGAAGGAAATTCACTAACGGTTGGAGCTGTTTTAGCTGGTGACATCCTCTGGGGATAGGGTTCTACTTTCTCTTTTTGCGGTGATTTTCGAATTTGAGATGGAAACTCTGATACTGTGGGCGATGTTTTAGTAGGTGACTTTTTCTCGGGATAAGTTCCAGCAATGTGCTTCTCCGGAGACTTTCGCGATTGATTTGGAAATTCTGAAACTTTTGGACCAGGTGATTTTTTATCTGGAACATCAGAAGTTCTTCCTGTTGGAGTTGCTCTTGATTGACCTGGAGATTCCTTAACTGGACTTCTCCTATCTGGAGATCCAGTTTTAGTGGTTTTCCTTGATACATCATCCTCAGTGGTTGTTCTTGTTTTGGTCTCCCTGAATGAGCTTCTTTTTAACGAATTTTTCTCCAAGCTGCTTCTACGTGTTTCCTTTGCGTCTTTAGTCAAACCTAATATCTCCTTAACGTGCTCTTCATAAGTGTCGGTGCGCAAAAGCTTTGGCTTTTCAAAAGTGGTATCTTTACTCGGCGATTTCTCTTTCGTGGGCGACCTGCGAGGACTGGCAATATCAGTCAGGGGAGATGTCGGCGAACGCTCAGTAACTTTTTTAACCTTTCTGGTCGTAATTTCTAAGCTGGATGGTCTGGTATCTCGTTTGGTACTTTTTTCTCTTGTGATCACCTTCGTATCCTCATCCAAGTCAGTAGTGACATCCTGACTACTTGTTACGTACTCGAAATCAGTACTGGCAGTTCCTGTAGGTGAAGGACTTCTTGGCTGGTTTTTGCGACGAGTCAAAGTACTGGAATCCACCACAGTTTCACCTCGAGTTGTCTTCGACTTTCTTGTAAGTGTATCAGTGCTATAGTAATCGGATTTAGATGTTTTTCTTGTGGATACGGTATCATTTTCTTTATCCACATAGATTCTATCGGGAGATCTGCTAAGTGGGGGCACTTTGCTGGTTTTGTATGTTATGGTTTCGCTGCTTGAAAATCTATCCACAGATTTCCGTGGACTACGGGATCGGCCGTATCGATCGGGTGAAGACCTTAAAAAACGTAATTTATTTTAAGATGGAATTAAATGGATAACTTGGGTCCTTATCTTACTTTCCATTCAAATCTTTTTTTAAAATATTTACTAGCTTTTTCACTTTATCACAAGAAATATTTCAGATGCAAGAAATATTTCAGATCACATGCAATGTTCTGGTTTCATTCCAAATTTGGTATTAATATACTATAAGTTCAACAAATCTGATCCGAAAAACTTAATAACTCACCTGGATGGATAAGTTTTCCCAGGACTGGTGGTGCTTCTAGGAAGGGAAGTATTGCTGGTAGTTCTGGGAGAATTTCTTGTAATTCTCTCAGGGGTAATGGATCTCAAAGACCTGGCAAATGCGTCATGAGTAGCGCTCACTTCTACCGATATTTTCTTGCTGGTAAAGTCATTGCGATAAGTTGTATCGTACTGTCCATCTGTTGGACTTGGTTTCTGGTCCAGTTCAGATTTTCCCGGTTTAATCGGGTGGCGCCGATCTGGTTGAACATACGGCTCGGTGGGCTCTTTTGGTGATTGCTTCAGAGGCTCCCTAGTCTTAGTGACATGTTCCCGAGTATCCACTTCGTGTTGACGTTCTGTAGAAATAAACTGATCATCCACCCTCTTGGAATCCCTCAAATCCTTTGCTTGATTAATTGTGTGAGTTGACGTAGTACGATAAGTAGTGTCCGTTTGGGTCTGGGGCACATGGTCGGACACTGTCTTGGTTGTGGTAGTTCTGGTTGTAGTAAATTGGTCTACTGGAATTTCCACATATTCAGGGCGTTGATGCTTATCGCTTTGGTTCGCTGGTCGCTCTTGCGGATGTTCCGAGACGATCCTAGTTGTTTTGGTCGTTGTCACTTGGCTTGCAGGAATATCCACATATTCAACTTGGTTTTGAATTGCTTTGCGATTTTCCTTAACATCCACAGCATTTTGAATGTTTCTCTGTTCATTCTGCACAACTCTTGTAGATTTAGTTTGGCGAGTAATATTTTCGGTGTCTCTTCGCAACTGCAGATCATCAGCTTTGTTGATTGCTTTTATTTCAATGTCAACCACTTTTCCAGGCTCCACAACATATTCCAAAGTTCCTCTATCATTTTTCATCACATTTTTCGTCGTTTGCTGCTCACTTCTGCTGGAAGAGCTTCGTTGCTCAGAATGGGACGACGCAACATTGGAGTATTTTTTCGTAGTTGCGGTCTGAGTGGAACTTCCATCCTTTGTTTCGTAGCGAGTGGTTGTTACAACGGTACCATCAGCGAGAGTTTTAGTTTCTTGTGAAACCTAAGGATGAAATTTAAAAAATGAATTAAGAAGAACTATTTTGCTGAAAAATGGGGCACTTTTATATTTATATCACTGTTTTGTTGCTCGTTTTAGGAAAATTACATTTCTCTACAGTACGTTTCAACATTATCTGTTCTAAAATTGATTTCCCTCCTTTTTCAAAATAATTGATTAGATTATACAGGGTGTCGCAATAAGGATGGTAAGCGGCTGTATCTTGGAAAGTATGTGTTGTAGAGTGATCGGAAAAAAAATTGACAACAAACTTGACGAAAATAATTTACTGGAAATTATTTTTAAATTTCTCAGATGACCACTAGATGGCGTAATTACTTAAACTTACTAGATGTTTCACTTATACGGACAATTTCTGTATAAAATCGACTTTTTAAAATACCGTTTGCAATTACGCCATCTAGTGGTCATCTGAGAAATTTCAAAATAATTTCCAGCAAATTATTTTCTTCAAGTTTGTTATCAAATTTTTTTTCCGATCACTCTACAACACATTCTTTCCAAGATACAGCCGCTTACCATCCTTATTGCGACACCCTGTATATTCTCGCTGACACGTTTTGAACATGCTTTGGGTCCACAAGAAAGCTAAGGAGTGCACAGGGCTGTTGGATTTTTAAATCAAGATATAAAATAAATATATTCTCTAATGGAGTAAAGAGTGTTTCTTGGGGAAAAAAATAATTTAAATTACAAAATTCACATTTTAACCAACCTTGGTTTTTCCTTCAACATAAATGGGATGATTCTTCAAGTCGCTCGGAATATTAGTGGTGAATGTGTTCTCAACAACGGATCTGGAATGAGCGTCGTGAGTTGTTGCATATGGTTCTCTTGTGATTGTGGTAGTTGGAGGCAAAGCTTTCTGGCTCTCAGTGGCACTTTTGCTTTCAGACACGTATCGTGAACTAGACGATGTTTTGCTGCTTGACGAGTGAAAATGTGAGTTTGCATCTCCTCCAGAAGCTTCTTGATGAACCATTGAATTAGACGAAGTGCCCACGGCTCTGCTAAAGTTTCTATCGTCTCCATCTTGAAATACTGAGGCTTTTTCTTCGAGTTTTGCCACATAGTCTAGTTTGCCACCGTCAATGTTTTGACTTCCTGAAGTGGTTGCAGTGTGCTTTGATGTATGCGTTTTCCCATCGATACTCCGTTCATGAGACGAATCGATGTTCCATCCTTGATCCTGATGTTTAGCTGGAATAATAAATCAACTAATAATCAAAAGGAACAATGTTATTCAAGTATAATTAGTTATTCGACTGTTAATCTGCTGTGCTAATCTAATTTTCATTATATTATATAACTGAAACCACTGTAAGTGAAACTAGTCAGGTAATATGCGAATAATATTCCATTCAAAGCTGCCGAGGACGTAATAACACTTCTTAAGTTACCGATTATGGAATACCCTGAAACAAATTCGCGCTAATTTAAATTGCAGATAAATAACCGTAACGTTAAAATGCTCAGAATTTGTCCATGTTGAAATAATATTCTCAGGAATCTCGCATTTTTTACAGCCTAAAAACTGTGGAACCTCGTTTACTAAAATAGCTTGCCCAATAAAGTTGAAGAACTAGACTTACCAATTGATTTATTGAAGCTGTCCCTCGTGGGACTTTCCGAGTCTCGGACTTCTTTGCTTTTCAAAGTGACATAACTTTGGTCAGCCAAAGAATCTGCATGAGTGGTTGACATATTAGTTTTCTGGTTTGAGGAAGTGTTTATTGTAGACCGGTGAATTTCAGTGTTAACGTCTTCAGAATTGTAAAAGTTCTTCAATCGTGCCTCTCGGAGTTTATACATATGGGATCTAATTTCCTTTTTCCGTCCAAAGTCCTCAGTTTCTTGCCACTGAAAATTGGAAATGGGTTGAATGAGTTTTAGCTTTAGAGTGTGGAGTTTTCCCGCAATTAATTACCATTTTCTTTAAAACGTCCTCATCTTGAATTCTTCCCACGTCACTAATATCGGCCGACATGGCCTAGACTAGTCGGAAACCTGCAAAAGTAGAAAAAAACTATTATTTTACTTGTATTATATAGGTAGTTTACTCATATTCTTATGCGTTTTTCAATTTTTTTTTATCAAATATTAATTCAAAAGATTTTATTAAATCCTTGGATTTCATGTGTTTGTAGTAATATTTGCAAATAATTAATTGTGTATTTGAAATTCATTCTATGATCAGTTAACGTCAGGAAGCGCAAAAGTCTGTATTTCAATAGTTTCCTCGAAACGAATCGAAATATTAAAAAGCTGAACTGAACGAAAAAGTTGTAACGGTTTTCGGCAATAAAACGAACTTTCCGAAATTATAAAAAAGTGCTGAGACTCGTAGATTCCAATTTGCATTAATAAGATAAACATACTTAGAATATATTATAACAGTTTAATTAACGCAAATTAAGCGGTTATAAAAGATGATTGTCACAATAATTCGTAAAAATGTCGAGATTTTTTTAATTTAATACCGGGTCTCTTAAAAATGAGATTTCGTCATTTCTAGCAACTGATTTCCATATTTGTACTTAAGAAATCCCACTTTACATTTGTGTGCACCATATTTTACCCTTAAGTCTCCATCATTTTGTTTATTTAGTAGATCGTGTTTCTCAGCTAATTGTTCGACTTTTTTTCTTAAAATATTTTTTGGTAGATGTAAAAACGATCGATAGCAAAATCTCTTAGTTTATGCTTAAAGCAGAACATGAGTTTTGTGTTCATTTAGTGTCTTAGTTTTGTTTCTAACATTTTAATCCTTGCTGTTAAAAGAATTGACTACATTTTAATACATTTGTGTCTAGGCAGAAGGTAACAGTTGCTTAAATTAATTAATATTGATTATTTCCACTTATAGTAAAGGTTTTCTACATTTTTTTTTATCACTTTGTATTAAAATTTTGTATTCCTGTAAAACGCAGTAGAATATTGTTGTAGTATTTTCAGTGGTCTGATTTGAAGCGATCTTAAATAGATGTTAAAAGATGCTTGATAGGAATATAGGATAGAGGAAGTGGCTGATATTAACATTTTTTAACATATAAAATATCTTAAATTTACTTTTCAAAATTATGTTTTTAATTTAATCAACGAAACTATTGAATTTTTATTGTTTTAATTTTGACATTTAAAATATGTCTTTGTTTGCCGTGGTTAAGAATGGCAAAATTATAAAATACAATGATGCAGAACCTTCAGGAGCAATGCAAAATCAAAGCGGTTAAAGTCAAAAATTAAATATTAGTAAATTTTGAGTAGAAGAAAAGTTATGAGCAACTCCAATTGGCTTTTAATCGGTTCAATAAAAGAATGTAATACAGACAGAAAAATTATATTAAATATGTAAACGCTTCTCACAAATCACGTATCGGAATCGCACATCAGTAAGCTTTTCAATGTGAAACTCGATTTGAAACTGGAGAGAAAATATTCAATTTTATTCAATTAAGATTTTTTTTAAATGTAAACTTTCGAAAATGAACAAAAGAAAGTTTATCCAAAAAAAGTCATTAATGTAAATCAGAAGCAACCTGTGTGTTAAATAATTGAACACTTGTCTTGTTGTGTGTTGTTTCATTCAAAAACTGCCTTATTAAAATTTCATGCAAGAAAGAATATACTTCAGAAAGCTGTAACAGAAAATAAATTAAACCAAGAACTAATGATAATAACAAAAACTTCAATTTTATGTTCTTGTTTCCAGTCCAATTTGTAACAAAAATTCATCGTCTTCGACAATGTTGATAAGTATTTTTTAAATTCTAGTTCGTTTTCTTCAAAATTATTAACTTTTCGATTAGTATTGATGATGTAATTTCTTATAATTGCTTCAATGTTATTATCACAAACCTTATACATTGTAGTCTAATTTATTACGAATCACGAATTATTCCTAAAACAATTCTGTAAGACACTAAGAATGAAATTAATTCTGAGACAAAGGCAAAACAGTTAATAGAACAGCAAACAAAAATTAAACTTTGATCTCTCTAAATCGACCACTCGGAAACTGTATTAGCAAGCCTAGTCCTTTCCTATGTAACTACTCAAACTTTGGATAGGAAATTAAGGGATTCATCCCAAAAAACTAACGGATTAATCTGCAAACAAACTGAGTTCAACAAGAGTCTAAATGATGTGTTCCAATTCCTTTTTGGGGTAGAATTAAATACAGTTTAAGGCAATGTCGTTCTTCACATTTCATGTCGAATGGGTCGGCAAATTTGGCCAGACTCACTTTCACCATGCAAGATAAAAACCGTTTAGTATTCTGTAAATTCCAATACTGTAATTTATGTGCAGGATAACATTGAATTGTTGCATAATATTAAGATCAGTGCCAACTTCACTCCATATAAGATCATAAACGGACTGCCTTTTTTGGCTGAATTGGGTTATGCCCATGGGTTTACGTTCAAAGTAATTAAAATTACTTTTTCGAAAGGGTCATTTGAATTTTAAATAGATGGAAGACGTGACGCATTTATCATTTAAGCGAGGTTGTTTCGTAGTAATTTCGCCATTGCTCTATGCCTTTTCAAGTGTTATTTATAACGAACCCATCAAGCAAAATCACTTATTTAGATATTATTTGCCGATTGAATCCCGTTCAGGAAAACTACATTTTTCAATATAAGTTGCTGGCAAATTGAAAGAACATCAAACCGCATTTTACCTTTGAACTACATACATTCTTGCTTCTGATTTATTTACTTCAGCATCATTTCTTATTGATGGATCGAACCTATTAAAGCAGACATAATTTATGCAGGCGGTGCCTTTAAAATAAAACACATTATTATTTCGATGTTTTGCTATACAACCATATTTGGAGATTCGCCATGACTACAATTTTTTTTCTCGAGTAGTTGCGCAAAACAGCATCTTGAAACATGTGTGTGGTATTACTGATGTAATTGGTATGGTTTATTTAATATAATCGTATAACGTGATTGATTCTTCAACAAAACAGGCTGCTCTTTAAAAATATTGCCAATCATTTTAGAGTTTTTTTTAATTTTTGGTTGCGTCTGTCTAGATTGTTTCAGTATTATTTGTATCTATTGTTAACATATCAGCTTCTAGTTAGACTTCTTTAAAAATGCCAAAATTTCAACACTAAATTAAAGTGGGCAATCTATGCAGAAAAATGTCCAACATTTAAAAACCTTAACTGCCTGTAACTTGCTGACGAAACGGGAACCATATATTTATACAAACTTTTCACTTTTATAATGGATTCTATTACGAAAGTTGTTTTTTGAAACAGCTTTAAAAATACTATATCTATCTTCAATTAAAGAAGATGTCCAAAAAGAGAAAGTGCATATATAATGTGAAATGACATATATTATGTTAATAATTTGACTAATCTTCACAACAATGGTGCTATTTTTAAATGCTGGTCATTTATGGAAATAGTAGCTTATTATTCATATTGGTGATATATAAGGAGTAACACAAATATGTACAATAACGGGCATTAAAAAGGTGAAGGTTAAATGCAACAGAACGATAATTTTATTTGAAACCAAAATTTAAACCAAATTTAATTAGACCGGTTAAAAATGTTTTATTAATAACTTTAGAAATATTCCAGGAAGCTTTCTCTTTGGAAAAGTCTAGTTTTTTCTTATTTTCAATATTTTATGTTTTTATTAGCAATTTAGTGTTGTTGCTTTTCAAGGAAACATATAAATTTAGCTTGAACACAAAATACATTTTTGTCACAACATACATATTCTTTATTAAATTCTTATATCAATTATAAGATATGACCGACTTCCTTAATGTTGGAAATCCAAATTAGGGGATTTAACACCAAATTATCCTCGCTTATATCTACAGAAAATATGAGAACTAGAATATGAACTTCCCGGAACAGAAAAAATGCGGGAATAAAGGAATAATCAATAAAGAAGAACCAGAAGTTTTTCATATATACTATTCTAATCACTTTGCCTATTTTTATACGTAATATTTTTATTCATTTAGTTGAAATTGTGCTGCTGAAATTAGGAAAATTTCAGAAAATTGTTTTAATTACCAGATATGACAAGTTTAAATTAATTTAATTTTAACAAACTTATCATTTGCAAGCAAAATGGATAATCTACATATAAACGCTGATTAATTATATATCAAAGTTAAGTTAATAGCAGGCTGAAACATTAATTTGTAAAAGTTGCAGGCGGTACAAAAATGTGCCCGAAATTCGGCTTTCTGATGTTTTTCCTTTAGCTAATTATTTTATTTCAGGTAGTGCTCTGGAGAAAAATTGCCTAGTTTTAATTTTTTTTAGTTTTGATTACAAAATAATAACACATATTTTATTACTTTATTTCAGCTAATTGCTATCCAGGAATCATTCTTCTAAATAAAGCTACACATATGCTTGTTTTTAGAACTGTTTCTTCATATGCGTTTGCCCATGTTTCTAAGTATTGCGACTTGAGCACGTAACTACAAAAGCAAACAGCCAGGTACTTTCAAAACATGAACTAAAGTTGTGAAAACTATCATTAAAATCTATGAAGGTATTTCTAGATATTAACGAAAACATGTAATTGTGAAGAATTCTTAACTATTTATTGTTATTACAATTAATATTCTCTAACGCTTTGGCGGCTTTAATGTTGCTGTTGTATACACGTTTTTTATATCTGTAATCTATTTACAACTTCAACTAAACGTCTTGATGAAATTAATTGTCTGATTCGAAATATTTATTTTTTTTAGTTTGAAGCAAAAATATTGAATAAAATTATCAAAAAATAATATAATTTTCTTTGTTACAGATGTTTTCACATTCCATTGGGAGAACCAGGTTAGTCTTTTAGTTAATGGCAGCTTTTGATGAAGCAAACGATGCTTTTGTTTGATAAATGTTGTCAATTCTGTTTTCAGCTCATATTCGGTTGTTTTGTGGTTTAGTAGTAATTTCGAAAAATAAAAATTCATTGATCTAGAAAAACAAGTGTATTCTAAATTGAACATTTCAGAAATCCTTCTTACTATATATTTGTTTAAGAGTTTTCAAAAGCTCTACATTCTATAATTTTTTAAGTAAAATGATTTTCCTTTGCTGATTATTCGCTTATTAAATTTAACTTTAAGTCAAACCGATTTCACAGCTCCAATCGATTCAGACCTTATTTTGTTCACTCAAAACTTTTTTGATACAGAATATTCAGTTGACACAGCAAATAGCAATATTTTCCGACCAGTTTTGTGCTAACGCTTTATTGTTTTGGAACAATCAGTAATTATAAGTAAAAATCCAGCTCTTCTAGCAGCACTTCTGCTTTTAATAATTGTAGAAAATAAAAGATGTAAAAGTTGTTGTGGATCAGTCGCAATTTCATTAAAGATGCTTAAGTGTAAACAAAATTTGTAAAATTCAAGCCGCAGGTGAAACCAAAATATTTTTAATGTACTCGTACCGAATAGCCTATTTTTACCGAATATAGAAACTTAAAATTCTCTTAAATTGTCTGATTATTAAAATTACTTGAGGTCAAACAATGATGTACCGATGAACCCAAATTTAAAACCTTTGTATCGAAGAACGTGTTGAAAAAAGACAAAACTGCTTCTAAAAAAAGGTTAAACGACCAAATTATAATGATTTTTTTTCAATTAACCAAACATCAAATTGGAATGTTACCAATGTTTCGTTATAAAAGTTAACATAAAATGCCAATTTACGATAGACTAGGACACACTATTTTGAGAACATTATGTCTGCTACCTGAATTTGGGACATCTCATATCAAAAAGCAAATTGGAGTTGAAAGCCTGCAACTGTTATTGCCCGAAATCACTTTTCCAAGATTTAAAAGCATATGCGGGGGTGTTTGTATGTGGAATATATCAGCTAACTTTTAATATGATTCAAAGCAAGAAACGTCTGAGAGATATTATGCCAGATCCTCTTCCTACATCTTGTCCTTTGCAAGTCCTTACCACCTTAAATCCATCAAGACTTTAGCATTTATTGCTTAATTGTGCCTATCCATAACTCGCAAATAATATAGTATTCAAGTTAAATGGAGATAAATGTTTTTTTAATAAATCAGTAAGTCGGTAATGACATCATGGAACCCAAATACAAGTCCTAGATTCGACCGACAAATTCGTAGGTGTGAATAACAATAGATGGTTATCTAATAGGAAGTGTCACTTTGAGAATTTCTTGCTTTTAAACAAATTGACTAACATGTATTCGTATGAGTTTGGTGATTTTTCTTCGTGCTTATTTAAGGCGTCCATGCAGGTTTCGCTCTCGGCTATAATCCTTAAATACATCTACTTAAAACTTTTAAATATCAACTTGTAAACCCTAAAACATGTACAGTACAAAGCATTTACCACCGGTTTGCCTTAAAGCATCGTTTCAATGCCTGATTATCTTAAGAAGGACGAAGTCATCTGATAGCCCGCACGTTGTTTATGAACAAATAAAAGTTTTATAACATGGAGCATAACTCTGAGTCAATGTCAGTGGGTGTTCAAAAACGAGTTCTGATCAGCTGAAAAATAAGACCAGTTTGGAAATGCTCAATGCTTAATGGGAATCGCAAGGTGTTGTTTTGCTGTAAAAAAAACACTGAAAAGAACCGTTGGACACGGTACTTACATTTTCATGTAGGAAATTGAAGCGAAAATGGCAAGACCAGACTAATGAATAATATTTTTACAGGGTGGACGGGCCAGTTTTAATCAAATATATTTTTTTTAATCAAGCATATTTTTCAGTAAATATTTAGCTCTGACTTGTGGAAATTAATGTGTTAATGAAAAAGGATTCATTTTTTAGAAACATTGACTGAATTCTTAAGCGGATGCTTAAAGTTTTAATTCTTGTACAGTGGGGGACACTAAATTATCATGTAAATAAAGTGCTAGAACTTTCTACTATTAATAAATTAATTGGTGTTGATTTGCTTTTTCAGTATATTTTCTTCAAATATGTTTCAATCACTTGCTGTTCTTGTTGATATTACTTGTATGTAATTGAATGCTTTTCGCCATTTTATGTTTTATTACATATCTTTTTTGTTGGATTTCTATTAATACCAGTTTTAGGAGATGTACTTGCTAATATATTATATTTATACACATTTTGCCAAGACTTATAAGCGTGAACTTATATTTTTCATGTGTCATCATCAAAAGATACTCGTGGTCAACAACATTAATGCTGTGTGAGAACAAATGACGAAATAAATTAAAAAACAATGAAAATTTTATTCAGTTTAACTCTGGAGTCTGAAACAACAGGGCAAATTACAAGCGTCAATAGTTGTTGCTGAATATTTCAATTGCTAACGGTGTCTGCAAATCCCAATAATGCGGGTTTCCATATTTGGGACTTGTAGTACAACATGCGTTTTTATCATACATTTTTTACTCACTTTAAAACTCCGAAATTTTTCTTAAAAAGGATTAAAGATTTTGACTAAATGTTTATTTTCGGCGAGAAACCATTCATAATTTAAATTGTGCGAATCAAGTGCAAGTTTTCCTACCGGTGCAGACATTAGAGACAAAAGATTCCAAGTCAACTCTAAAACTAACGCTATTGGCACATGAGAAATGGAGCTTTAAGCTTTTCTTCTCTTAACTTGCGACCATGTTTTCGTGAAGGTTTAGTTAAATTTTTGAATATATAAGCGCTAAAAAGTTATTCAATATAACTTTGAGGTACCCTATAAATTAATTGAATAAATGTGAACATGTTCTAAATAACTACTAGCAGATTAAAATTTAACACTCTTTTGACCTTTTTACTGATCAGTTTTGACATATTCGCTCTTTGTCTTGTTTCAGGATTGGTGGTACATGAGTGATTTTCCTCATTGATTAATTTCTTGATCCATTTGGATCTTAAAACTTTCCCAGTCTGTAGTTTTATTACTCACAGTTGGTTTTATAGGTTTTTTGATGATTGAAGAACTTATTAAATGAAGTGATCGAAAAACATGTAGGTAATACCTACTTTTTGTTGAGAAAGTTTCAATCCTTGATCAAAGCCTTATACCCATTTGTATAAATAAATATATCTGAAAGTAAATGAACATGTACAAGGCCTAAAAAATTATACTTGGTGAAAAATTACATACTTTTTTGAAATAGCACATTCTCTAAAGTGAAGCATTAATTTTTATGAAATTTTTATTGAAATAATTAAGTTAATTATTGACCCAGCCGCTTGTAAAACAAAATCTCCGAAGGTATGTACAAAAAGAGAGAAAGTGCAATTTGAATCTAATTCCAATTCCAATTTTCCAAGCAACTATGCTATTTTTACATTACTGTCCATTCCCTATCCTTTTAAACGCATATTTGCATTAGTTGCTTGGTCCAAACGTCTTAAATTTGAATTTGAGACGGACGAAGAAAATAATGAAATTACACTTATTTTTTAATATTTGTTAATTCTTTGAAAGTAAATGCAGCCACTCTGTATATGTATATGAATAAAAAATTGCAATGACATGCACACAGAATATGAAGTATGTAGATCAAATTACTTTCAACACCTTCGATAGCTCAGTTGGTAGAGCGGTGGACTGTAGTTTGTATAGAAAGTTGATATCCATAGGTCGCTGGTTCAAATCCGGCTCGAAGGAGTAACTTTTGCATTTTTTAGCATAATTTTTTATTTCTCTTTTTTCTTGTTATTTACTTATCTAACGGGTTCAACAAATGCTTCTTCCAAATTGCAAAAATAAATACGGACAGTTGAAAGTTGCATCCACGTTTCTTTTTTGGGAAATTATTAAAGATTGTTAATTAAAGAATGTAACTGAATAATAGTTCAAAACAAGAACAAAATTACTGTTTTGACGAAAATCAAATTTAAGAGAAATTATATAAAAATTATTGTCTTGAAATTGGTTGAAAACTAGCAGTACTTACCATGTAACGGGCCATGAGAATAAATTATTTATTAATATATTTCAAATTTGTATCCACTCTTTTTATTATACGGTCTTTCAATCAGGGAAAACACACCTACTAAATATTTCTAATATGATGGTCGTTTATCAACTGTAACTATAATTATTCTGATATGATGAGGATAAGGTAAACACTATTAAAATGACGAGAACATAAGATAAATATAATAAAATATTGATATTTGAACCATGCACATAGAGGTTTTAAAAGTGAATACTTTTAAAAATTAAAATTGAAGTCTATTGTTACAAAAATTATTAACACCAAAAATTCCTCATGCAATATCAAATAGCAAGTTGTAAAATAAACTTCATGTTATTCTAAATTTTAGATTAGATTATTTAATTAAGGGTCAAAGCTTTTAGTAAATTTGCCATAGAATCTGAACTGTCTGTAGTATTATAATAATACAGACAGAATAGCCAAAAGTTTTGTGTATAAAAAAATTGTATTGAATGGATTATTTTGACACATTAAGAGCATAATAAAAGTGCTTACCAATTATTCAATGACCACCGTGTATATTTTACATGTTTATTTTGCTACAGATTTCGGTACTTATGTACATTTTAATTAATTTAGAGCAATGGTTATATTTTAAATATCTATAAATTGATGAATGAAAGTTAATATCCTTTTCAATCTACAATAAAACTGAAAACATGCTTTTTCATCATTTTTTATTCATCATTCACAATCTTTAGTCCTTAAATTGCTTCGGCATTATAACATTTCATTTGATTGAAAGATAAGGTTAAGTGTCAATTTTCTCTATCTCAAAATTATTTTGTTGGAAAATTTTGAATAAATTTTACATAAGAAAAATAGCATGGCATTGAAGCGTTCGATGAGATCATCAGCGGTTAGATGTACCTCATATATGGGAAGACTAAATCCTAAGAGCAAAAACCCTAGAAAAAAAATTGGTAAGAACAAAGCCGCCAAGCATTACAAACGGGGCCACAAATCGGATCATGGACTAAAAAATGAACCTGAGAAGCCAAGTAAACTTGCAGTAGAACGTTGCAGATATCCCTGTCGTAGATATGAAGAATTCCATGACCACTTTTTGAATTATGACCAAATCTTGAACTTTCTAACAAAAATTCAGAAAAATCATCCTGCAACAGTACAGCTATTCAATATCGGACTATCAGGACAAGGTACAAATTAGGAATGTATACAGGGTAATGCAACTATGTTCCGCGAAAGAAAACGATTCAAAATAGTTTAATAAGAGTTAAGTAACTGACGCGAAGATTAATTAACAGTAGCACTGCTCACATATATTTTAAATTTATATGCAGAGTGGCGTTTAATGTCACATAATATTGTTTTAATAAAATATTTTTGGCTGCAATCGAGCATCAAATGAAGAATTTAAGACAGAACGAACCTTTTAGTTAATAAGTTAACAACGCAGGATCAGACGGTTTCATACAAATTATCTGTTTCTTTTTTGAGAAATTGCAATTTTAAATTAGAACGGCCATGCACTACTTAATTCTTTCAAAATTTAAATTGAAACAGTATTTTCGTTACTTGACTTTCGATTTTTAACTTGCAGATTTTCGATAGTTTCGTCTAAACACTCATGATTCAGTCAATTAACAAATTTAGAAGCTACTCATTTCGGTTATTAAACATCTGGTAACAAATAAATAACGTTAAATTTATGGTAATAAGTTGCTTAAGCAGATTCGTAAAGAACTAAATACTTTATTATTTATCTCTGATTTTTGGATTTTGATATCTGGAATTGTTTGAACTTATATGAAATCCGGGAATATTTGGGTTTAACCGGAAATAATCTTAGTCAAAAACCATAATTTGCCAGTTTTAATGGAGTGAAATTGTTACCAAGTTCTCATGACCACCAAAACGCAAGAAAAATTTTAAATACTTTTGAAGGAATGGAAAAGTAGATTGAAAGTGGGGTGGCTATTGACTAGCCTGCAAAATCGGCAGATTTTACACCCTTTAACTTAGGCCAGGATCAGAACATACTTAAAGAAACATAACTTTTTAATTTTCAAAGAAACTACGACAGAAGAAATAGAAAAAGTGCTTAAAGGCCCATCTTCAATCTGAAGATTCGTCTATTGAAATTTGTACGACCAAAAAATTATTGTTTCCTTCAGGCACTTTGATAATTCTCAATCAGTATTCGTATTCTTATCAAGTTTATATTTTTTCTTGATCCCCTGGTGGAAAATACGTACTTTAGCCACTTTAGCTACTCTAGCCACTGGCAAAAGCATCACTTTTAATCATTACAAAATTTCTTCATCTCGTGTGGAAAGTAATAACTTTCGCCACGCACGCTGACAGCTTGACTTTGTCATTGACTGTCAGCTGAATGTTTTGACATTTTAAGTTTTTTTTTCAAAATCTTATACTTTTCCCGGCTAGTTTCCACCGAGACAAAAGTCGAAGGCCCGCCACTGCGTGTAACTTTAAGCTTAAACTTTAAGCAGTGGTGGATCTTCGACTTTCGTCTCTTGTACCGTAATATACTATTTTACAATACGTACACAATGATAAGATAATTTTATTGGGTAATTTATATACAGTCTATTCGACACTGACAAAATTTTGTTAAAATAGTAAAACCCCCAAAATGTGATTTTTACGCAATGGCGGAACTTCGACTTTCGTCTCTTGTACAACGGTCTAAAACTTCGAAAAACTCACCAGTTTCAAGCAATGGATGCGACAGACCAACCTCTTTATGAACGTTACAACTATACTACTTTATGGGTGTTGAGTCACATTTTTTCATGAACCCGTGTTGTAGGTTTTGGGGCAAGTGAGATAATTTTGTTCATAACTTCTAAAACTTTTGAATAAATGATAACATGAAGGCAAGTTTCAAAATACCTAAGTTTTCTACACGAAAAAGTACTCTTAATCAAAAGGTATCATGCTAGCCGTTTTAGAGAAAAATTACATGCACTTAATGAGAGGTTTATGAGGGAAATTTAAATAAATACGTCAAAAATTAGCAATTAAAAAGACGAGTCATCTTCAAGAAAGGTCATAATACCCAAGTAAATTTTTGCGTTTCCCATACTCAAATGCCATTTTATAGTTTTTAGGTAGAAAACAAAAGTTAGGGGCAAATAATTCCACTTAAATCCAAAATCCACGCCTCTAATAAATGCAAAAAAATGGCAGTGATCAATCGTAAAGTAGTAGTATCAAGTGGTAAAATGTATAGAAAAGTTTGGCCGATTTCAATTAAAGACCAAGGTTGTTTTCAAACAACTGAAATAAAATTCTATTCGTTAGGATCTTGTATTTCCGGTCATAAATGAATTTTTTTTCACTTAGTTGTTTTCTTTGTTGTTTGTTGCTTGTTTTAACAATAGTTGTTAACTAAGAACTGTTAACTGAGAATACGTTTTTGTGTGTATAAAATACTGATTTGTCAAAAAGTATGTTAAAAACTTCTGTTTCCATTAGAAGTGTAGAAGTTTAGATGAAAATAATTCCCTTCAGCCTCAAAATCGACTTTACTGATACATAAAAAGATTTTGGTTAGCGCTCGTAAAGTACCGTTAGTTATCTTAAGTACTTTCTAATATAGAAACCGACATGAAAATTGAAAAACTGTATTTCCATAGCGTGGTCTGGGAGTTTATGATGTTTTTGCAAAATATTTGATCGATTGTAGAACGAACAACACGCTTGTATGCTTTCTTCAAATATAGCAGTATTTGCCAAAAATTACAGAATTTGCTCGAAAATTGCAACAGCTGTTTTTGTATTAAAAAATCCCAGCAAAGCGCAAATTGTTGTTTGCCAGCTTGAATCTCTAACGAAACAATTTAATTTTGATAGTCAGAAATATTTACAACTTCATTAAGATTAACTCCATTTCAATAAGATAACAAAGTTCATTTAGTTTCATCACCTCATCATCTTTCATTTCATTCTCTCTGCTGCCTTGTAGGTTTATTAATTCACAGATCTTCGGGTTTTGTACTCAAAACTTTTTGATTTTCAATCTTGTAAACGCCAAACAATCATTTCAGGAAAACCCATCTACATGATCTTCATTACAACAAACAGCAGTCATTCATCCGAAACAAAATTTGCAACATTCATTGAAGCAGGGTTGAAGGGTGATGATACATTTGCTGTTTCAAATGCTCTTTACATCATCGATCATCTATGCAAAAATCCCAACTTCGTTAAATTAATGGACTATTTCATTGTGCCGTGTGGAAACCCGGATGCATATGACGATTTTGTAAAAAGCAGAAATGCCGAAAACAATGCATCTGGTACAAAAAGAACCAGCAGCACAGAAAACGGTGGTTTGTGTGAAAAAAAAACACGTCTTCAAGCCTCTAATAGCAAACGTCTTAAGACAAGGGAAATTCTTGATGATGGATCAGTGAAAAGTAACAAAAAACTGGAAAAAAAGACAACGCATAGAAATATTAAAGAAGAGCAAAATGCGGAGGAATGCAATGTAGCTAATAGTGGGGAAACTAAGAAAAAACTTGCAATTCAAATGGATTTAAGCACCAACTTTGGGGTTTACCTAGGTGAAAATGACATGAGGAATATACTAACCAGCACTTTCCTCGGTAACAATAACTGATTTATTCCAAAATCCAGCATTTTGGGTCCCAGTTGAAGTTAGATAATAGTTTTCTTTTAGATAAAATTAAACTCTGGAAAGAGAACTACGTGAATTCGCGCCCAGAAAATGTAGCTCTGGCTAACGCGATTCGCAGTTGCCAGTTTGCCATTAAACTCTTGATTTCCTTGCAAGAAGGGGGTGAAACTATATGTTACCCTTATGGGTTTTGTGAAGACACCACTGAGGAGTCCAACGAACTGAAAGAAGTCGCAAGAAAAGGAAAGTCCGGTATTGTTGGAAGACAATTTCGATATGGAAGCATTTACCAGTTACGCGGACTAACCTATGGAAGTTTAGTAGATTTCCTGAAAATGGACAGAATTCCCATTCAGTACATGTATGTTATGCAAGTCCATCAGAAGACTTGTCGATATGATGAAAAGCGGGAATTAAAGGAGTTGTTAACTTATGGGTGTCAAATAATGGAGAGCATTAAGCGAATGTCTGCTGCGGTTTATAAAACGTATACGAACATGACGGGAAATCGCACAGTAGAAACTGTATGTGTTAAAAGACAATTAAAGAAAAATAATTTTTCGTAAAGATATTTGTTTTACTTGAAGCAGGGGTTTGCATATCATTTTATGGCTAAGGATTAGAGTTGGTTCTGATGACTTTCATAATAAATTCAATGGAAAGGTTCGCATTTTTTTATAAGAGTGGCGCCTCAACCTAACTGATGCATAGTACCTAAATAACTTGATAGAAAACATGAATTGAAAGTATGAAAAATAAAAAATTCATAAGAAGTAAATAAAGGGTGTTTAAACCTTTTATGTATTGCACGGAATTTATCTTCCGAAATCGAAAAATTTGAACACATTATTCCTTAAATTTAACATTGAAATAATTATATATCGGAGTGTATGTTCTAGGAAACATTTTGTCTTTTAAACAAATCATGACGTTCACCTTTTAAAATCCTACAATTTTTTTAATTATTAACAAATATATTTTTGAAAATATTCTTCGCAAGAATTTGCTATATTTTATTGAACAAACCCATTTACAATCACCGCCGGTTTCTTGGATATTATTCAATCGTCTGGTATCTCTAAAGACCTAAACACAATTTTCTAATGTATAACTTTCTATTAATAGCATTACAGTAAGCTTTGGAATACTTTTTTCCAAAACTACAGTTATAATGTGAATTTATTAATATGTTAAACACTAATTTAGATACAAGGTTGCGCACTTCAAAGTCTAAACCAGTGTAATTTACGTTGTACCGTATGTTTAAGTGACATGATTTTTTTTAACGCTGAGCAAATATGGTAATTGTTCTTGTTAATGGCTAATGTCATTTAAATCAAGTGCTTAGCTTTTGAACTTATGTATTTGATTTTTTGATTTGCCAATTTGTTTGCTACCAATTCATCAAGAATGTTGCTTAGAATGAAAGAAATGAATTGAATTATATTTGCTAATTTTAGTAAATAGTAGCATTGTTACAACAAAATTTCATCGTTTTTAAATGCTTAAAATGTGTAAAAATAATTAACATTTAACTTAAAGTTTTACTAATTTTTAATGGTAAAATATTTTTGGAATTACTCGTTTTTATACGATTTTAACTTTAATAACACTTTTACACATACCCGATACATACCCGCTAAATAAAAAAAGTACTTCAATCTATAAAACAAAATGCAAAACTTAATGTTTAAAAAATTATGTGACTTTTTTCAATTTCAAAAGACGCAATAAATTTAAAGAGAAAACTATAAACTTGACTGATCCAGCTAGTTTATAATTGATAACGATGTTCATGAATAACTTATTCTGGGCTTTATATGCTTTCCCAGTTATTGTGTTATACATCACAAACCTATACATTTTTTTGCAGTTTGGATTGCTAAGGCAAAAACATATTTTCTTGCGACACAGAAAAATTTAAAGAACCAAAGTAACTAAGTGCAAACCAAAATCTTGGTGTATTATAAACTAGGGTAAGAACTTTTCTTCTTTCTCTTTGAATAACTAATTGTTGTTTAATTAGTAATTTAGATTAGAAGTAATTTAATTAATTAACAGTCGTTTAATTCAAATCTGCTCTAAAATAGAGTTAAATAGTTCAGCTATAAAATACAGTATGGTTTTTTGGAATTTACAAGCCTTTGTCTTAATGCACTGGTTTTGAAAACCTTGTATAATATAAAATAAATAGTCTAGAAGTTGAAGAATGTTTAGCTTAAACGTGTGTTCCAGAAATGTTCACTTTTAAAGATTCTGCACATATAATTAATAAATAAAGTAATTTTTGAATTAATTTAATTGATTAGTATTATGTTTATTAAACATTTGTTTTCTGTTTTAATTAAAGTGGATTAACTTACTGATTATTATGTACGTCATAAATTTAAAATAGCAGGGGTAGTTATAAATAAATTAAAACATCTGGGGAAGCATTTTAATATTCAAATACATTTCTAATAAAAAGATTAAAAAATTAGAATTGTTGTTGTTTAATAAAAAATATTTTACTTGTGAAATCTACTGAAGACAAATATATAGGGATGGTGCGAAAGCTATGAAAGGATCAAAGTTAAAAAGGGTGGTAAATGTTAAGTGAGATTAGTCAATAATCTGCTCGGGCAATAAAAATGGGCAGTTTTTTGCAAATTTAGGTCTGAAAACAAAGCCATAACAAAATTGTAACAAATGTTCAAAACAACCACAAACGGTCTATCTAAGGATAATTCAACGTTTATAAAGGTCATAAAGTAAATCAGTTTATAATACTTTTAAATTATATAAAATATAAAAGACAATTACTAAAGCAGTTGATCTGTTCGCTTTTGCGTAAAATCTCAATCCTCAAATTGTTAAGAAAGTGTTTACTTTTCGGACTAATGATTCTTAGAACTAAATCAGGCAATTACATCACTGTTAGTTATGTAGATAAAACGAGATTCACAACAACAAATTTGTAATAAATTGTCGCTTAAACTGAAATAAACATTAAATATATTATTTTTAACAGAGTTATACTAACTTGGGGTTCAAATTATTCCAATTGCATTTTCGCAATAATATCAAACATTTCGAAGTAATTTTAAGTGTAAGAAGTAAATCTAAGTGGTTAGTCTAAGGGCAATAGAATTAATATAATCAGTAACAGTTCAAAATATAGAGACTACTTACCGCGCGTTGATCCTGTCTCAAATTAATAAACAATAAGAATTAAACACTCCAATTAAAGTCCTATAAATTTCAATCGAAACAACTTCTTCGTCTGGCACTGATCACTAAGCAAATCCAATTCAAAATGCAAGTATTCCAATGAAATGTTATGGTTAATTTTGTTCCCGAGTTGAAGCTTAATAAGAAAAAAAAAACAAAAATTCTTAATCGATTTCTTGGGAATATATCTCGTTTATTCGCAAGCCGGTGGTCGACTGAAGTAGTACCAGCGGTACCGCCTGAAGTCTGTACGTCCAATGGATGACCATCAGCTTCCCATATGGACCGATTCTTAACACCTTCACGGTCGAGCGCATTGAGTATGTCATACAATTATATTTAGAATACTCGGGGTAGTCAAATAGATGTGGGTGGAACTAGAGAGAGATTTATATGTTTTTATATCAATTTTTAGTACTTTAGATAGCGGCGAAACCAAGACCATACACTTTTCTTTTAGCATCATAAACCAGCCAGTTGGTAGATTTAATCAAGGTTATATGGAACGCAATCGTTAACAAAGTGGAATATATCTGATTTTAATTTGCGTGATGAACTGAAATGTTCAAGAATGTATACGGTATTTTTCATATTGCACCTGTGGTGGAAAAAGCCTACTCCAATATACATGAGGCCCTCAAAATTGTTTGGTTCCCATTAGAACGCACCTTTAAGTGAGCTGTCATTGGACTGCACGCATTGATCGAAATGTATGAAGCTTTTTCCACCAATGATGGATTTTTTTAAAGTAGGCATCATAATGCTTCAAGGTTTTCAAGCCTGACTAGATCATCTCCAGCAGCTGAGTTCATTCAATTCAATTAAGTGAGAGTAGCTATCTTTAAGTAACTAGCTAAGCTGGCCGGAAATAAAATTTCAAAACCTGTGTTATTTTAAACGTTTAATAAAATAGATTCTATGGCCTAAAAAGCAGCTTAGAACGCATTTAAATGTGTATTTTTCAGTACACTCGCCTTTTTTGTGTTTTGACAAAAAGCTATAGTTGCTTTTGACTAAATTTAGTGCGCAAGTTCTCATGGACAGCACTGGTTCAAAAATTTAGCAAAAAGCTCTAATTGGAGAACTATTCCACTTTAAAAGTGTCGTGCTGAAAAACTGGCGCAACATACAACAAACACTATGTAAGGCGTAATGTTTCCCACAGAAAAATTCAATTGGAAAATGTAAGTAAACATTTTTTTTAGAACGGGTTAACTTGCAAAAACCTGTTACTTCTGCCAACTTTGCAAAACACCTTTAAAAAAACTTTCATCTTAGTGGGCTTGCCATATGTTGACACAAATCTTAAAAAGGAAAACGGCTAAGAAGATTAACATATTCTAGCACCTTAAAAAAAAATTCATTTCAGAACTTGAGGATTGGCATTAACTAACTGTGTGACTCGTTTCGACATTTTTGCCCAAACGGATAGCCGTCAATAACGTTTCGAAACTCTTATGCGAATATATGGTAAAGTAAAAGAAGTTGCTTCTTGTTATGGAAAGTTACATTGACTTAATGTTAATTCCTTGGAACAATACATTAAAAACGGCACGTTAATTTGAAGATTGATGAGATTAAGCTGAAGCGAAGACATTGGCAGACAATACGCTAGCTTGCATTACATTAACATGCAATTTTCAGTGTATATTTTTGGATGAAAGGTGATTAATGCGATAAATTTTGAAGTAAAAAAAAAATTGAACGAATGGGGTTTTCCAAAAAGCAAACGCAAACTGCATATTTGCAGATTATGTGAAATAGCCTTTTAAATATTTGTTATTGCAATACAATTTAATTGTTTTTTTTTCTTAAAATACACTACTAAGCAAATTGATAAAGACCGAGAATACCCTACGCAGATTCAGCATGGGTGGTGAATTTTGATCCAGAAAATCAGTAAATGGTTTTGTTTATTTAGCCGATTTAAATCAAGTTGAAACCAGACCAGATCGTATATTAATCCACCTGCTAAGTGGGCGCCTGCACCATGTATGGTCACTAGATGCAGTAGTCGAGTGGGTGCTAAGTGACGTCACATGGTACCGGGCATACATTTTCATAAGATTGAGCAATTCTGAATCATTCTACCCATTTTACTGAAAAGAAAAGTCGTATTTTTTCATTTCGCATTGGACAGCTCATCGAGTTGACATTTTCAGAGAATGCCAATAAATGCGCCCTCTCCTAACAAGAACATATTAAATTATACTTTCTTAGTAACAGTGGGCATATTCAAAATTATTATGTGTTAGAATGTTAGTAAATCACTCTACAAGCACTCGAGCAGTGTAGTGCGAAGTGATGAGACGCTTCCAGAGCAGATCCAAGTCACTCAAAAGTGAATTGATAATCAATTGAAGAGCAACATTCCCGATAATTTAGCTTCTATTATTTTTTAGCCTTTTAGATGCAAACATGTGCAAAAGTTGGTTGTTGCAAAACGGTATATCTTGCATTCACTGATTTATAAAAATGATGCACATTCTGGTAATAAATACGGAAGTTTTACAATTATATAAGTTGTCTGTTTCCACTGCTCCTGTGTGAGCAACTGGCGATCCTTAAAAAACGTAGTCTCTACTGTTATCAAATGGCCGTCAATCCCGCTTCAACCAAACTAATACAGTGTGAAACCCGAGAAATGGTTTTTAATGCAATTTTTTGTTGGTTTCATGTCCGAAACGTAATCTTATAGGTCGCTACTTTACTGTCTTAAGCCGGAAAAAGTAATGTATCTTTCAATAGTATTCTCTATCTACTTATCTATATCTATCTCTATAGCTCTACAACACAAGTCTGTGTTCATCTATCCCGATCCATCATGATTCTTTCTGCATCATCGATGTTTAGGGGGCTTAAATCTGATGTAACATTTTCTCTCCAGCTCATTAATGGCTTTCCGAGTAGTATTTTTACGTCTGGATTCTCTTCCGACACCAGTTTAATCATTGGTTGGTCATCTTGTCTCTTTACATAACCCGCCCATCGCAGTCATTCTGATTTTATTGGTTTAACTATGTCTGGTCTGGTCTGGTACATTTTGCGCAATTCTGTATTTTTGCTATCTTCTTGTTGTTGCCCATGCACTTTTTCTTCATTAGTTTTTAGACCAACATGTTTGGTACCACGTTTAAACTTCAAATCTTTATCACACTCACAGAATATTCATTTTATTATCAAAAGGGTATTCATTTTGTGTAAATAAACGTTGATAGTAAAATGGTTTTTCAGTCTCACACAAGAATAGTAGCAATTTTCGAAAATGCGCTTTTACACGACAATCGAACGTTTGTGAAAAGTTGAAAGTAGCAAGAAAAAATTGATGTGTCTTCATTAAAATTTAGGTTTCATTAGGAGAGCAAGATATTTAAGAAGGTACGACGGAATTATTAGTAGCAAAAATGGTCATTAATCGCAAATAACGTGACTCTAAAACTACGTTGTGTGTCTTAACTACAATCCAATTTGCATCAGGAGAGCAGCATATGGAGGAAGGTAGCGATACTGAAATATCAGGAGTAAAAATAGGCACCAATCGCAAATAATGAAACGCTAAAATTACGTTGTCTGCCTTGACTGAAATCTGGTTTAGTAACAAGGAAATATCGGGAGATGAAGTAGACATCAATCGAAAGTAGCGTAACGCTAAAACTATTTTGCGTGCCTTGACTAAAATCCTGTTTGCATCAGGAAAGCAGAATATTCAACGAGGAAGCGACAAGGAAATATCAGGTGCAGAAATAAGCATTAATCGCAATTAACGTAACGCTAAACTGTTTTGTGTCGAGCCCAAAAAACATGGAACTTATTTCAAGACAGGCGAACTAAATAAAGGTAGCCAGAAAGAAATATCGTCAGCAAAAATAGAAGATTATTGTCGTAAGATAGTTAGTCGATAATAGCGTTACGTTAACGACCTGGTCATGATTATATCTTGCATCAGAATGTTTCAGGGGATAGAGGTGTATTCAAAACCATCAAACATAAAAATTTAATTGTATTTATTTTATCAGGCAAACAAACATAATCAATTATTACTACAATATATTTATTAACTAAAGCAGTTTCTCTGCCCTTTCGATGGTCCTTCGCAGCGCGATTGTGTTCTTTCTTGCCATTGTAGAGATGATGTGGAGATGTCGGTAACTAATGCAGAACAATATCAAATTGAAAAAACTGTAATTATGTAGTGAAATTGTAAATATTAGCAAAACCCATTCGGAGTAAGTAAGCGAAAAACGATCCAATAAAAATGAAACGCATCAATAAAATGCAGATTTCAAAACCATCACAGCAATTGTCGGCATCCTTTACGGGGAAGATGCAAAAAAATAAATTATAAAAAAAACTGAATTGAATTGAAACGAGTCATTTAAAACTGTTCGATAAGTACAAAGACTTAATTATTCTCTACATGAAACAAAAGAGGATAAACATAAAACTTTCTGAAATTTACTTCTAAAGTACCTTAATGACATTCTTCTAAAGTCTAAAAAAGTTTGTTTATAAATACTGTACTGAGTCAGAAGTCAGTCAGAAAAGTGGTCCATAATTCTCAGCATTTCTTGTTTAATAATCGATTTCTATAATAACTCAGAATGACAATCTCATAAATTATGAAATGATTTGTAATGATATTTCGCCATTCAGTTATTTCAATACCGCTCGTTTTCCTAATTTTTTTGTGGAATAAATTACTGTGACTAAATGTACCATTAACCATCTGAACATAAAAATTTGAAAATTATGAACATCCCTGAAAAGACTCTGCCTCACACTGAAGATATTATGTTTGAAGCTAAAGTTTAATGTTAATATATCGGTTTGAACATGCAATTATTTGCAAAGCTTTATTTTCATTTATTTGTTAAACACCAATCCCGGCCACACTTAATAAACTCTAAATAGGTCAGCAATATTTTAAATGAGATTTTATATCGGTTTCTAGGCATTCTTTCGACAAATTTGAAGAATGATTGAAATGCCCGCAAGCTTAATGATTATTTAATTTAGAACCAATGTGTATCAATGATAAACCGTTTTTTAGCATTATTTGGTGCATATTTTACCAACCGGGTTTATTTTAAAGCCTTTTGATTTATGTTAGTTGAGCTTGAATTCGCATTAACAGATTTACACCATTTATTTTTTAATAATTTTGCCTGGAAAGCTTGTTGTTGATAATTAATAATCGTACTTAACGCAAAATATTCGAAAGTGAATGGAACGTTAAACGAGTTAATCAACCTCCAACTACCTCAAAAGTTTTTAGTACTTGCAGACGTATGAAGTTAATAGTAAATAAGATATACGCGCTTTTGCTTCCATTTTGAAGAATTATTTTCTACTTATACTTACGGTGTTGGAAATTCGACTAACTCGAAGCAAATCAAGCCAATTTCGTTTAAACATTTTCTTCTATCCAAAACGACCCAGTTTTTACATTCTGGATACATGTTAATTAATTGCAAATGTGTCGTTTATTTGTAAATAACGAGTTGCAAAGTAAATATGTCAGGCAAGTACTGCTAAATTTTAAGTTGCCCTAAAGCAATGCAGAAAAGTTAATATATGTGCTAATATTTATTCCATATAAGTAAACATTGGATAAACAATTTATTTAAGATATGTAAGGAAAAATATAGAGCTGGACTTCAACAGGAATATTCAGGATATTATGAAAACCGCAAAATTATAAATTCCAGATATAGCTACTGCTTAATAATTACGCGTTTTATCCATGTGCAACTGATTTTCAAGGCGAGAAAAAGTTCACAATGTATGGAAAGAAAAGGTGAGAAAGTGTTTTAAGACACAGCTTTTGTAAACCATCCAAAAGATTCCTTTTTTCTTTTTATTCCTTTTAATAAGTTTCTCCTCTTCTGTCGGCTACTGTTTATTTAACTTCGTATCATCTGACAGTGCAACTTTGCATAAGTGAAAAATGAATAAAGCAAATTGATCACTGATCGAAACTGATTAATTTGTGATAATAACTCAGTAAAGCCCGTGTCCCGTGCATACGTTTATACGATGGTACGATGATACGAAAGTGTTTCTATTGGTTGGAGATCTGTCAGTTCGTACGACGGCGGACGAATTGACAGATCTCCAACCAATAGAAACACTTTCGTATCATCGTACCATCGTATAAACGGATGCATGGGACACAGGCTGAAGAGATAGAGACAAGATATAATTTTGTAAAATTATTTTGATTTTACCTTCTGCACATAAAAGAATAATGATTTAATATAAAAAATGAAAATATATTATAAAAATCGAAAATGTTGTTGATATAGTTGGACATGCTATTTTTATTATCATCGAGTAATAGGTAGTTTGTTATTCTCGCCGATTACGCATTAATTCTTTTTGGCATTGACCCACAGCCATATAAGTCTCTATTCCAACAGTCTGGTTGACCTGTGCATGCACGCTATAGAGACGACGGTCTTGTGCGATGGCCATGGCACCAAGCCCGAGATGCATGCATAAAATCAGGACAAATAAAATAAATATTATTGACAAGAACGACTTAAATTGCAATTCGCGTAATTCCCTACATGAAATATAAACTTTATCCAAAATAAACCATGCAGCGATTCTTGGTAGCGCTTTGAATAAAAGCAGGGCATATATTCAATGCTTGCATACAGATAACAACCATAGCATAGTTTAAAAATCAAGTTAAAAACCGTAAACGGAAAAGCATATAACTGTAAGAGATGAAAAAACATAACGCTTTTATTATCTGCCTTATTTGTATTGTCCTATAAACATGTCGATTGTTGTTACTTTTCAATATTCGTTAGAAGTTATTAATTAAATATCACTATTCTTTACTTTGATTACCGTATTAATAATTCGTTTCCAATTTAATTTAGTGAACGTTAAAGAAGATATTTACATTTGTACTTAAAACCTACTGTGAAGGTATTCAATTTTTTTACATTTTAGTTATACATAGTTAGAAAGAAAAAATTTAAATAGAGGAAGCCTTAAAAATGTTATTAACGAACCTTAATCAGGCGAAATTATCAAGCCTTCTTGCCAAAATCATATCAAAGCGAAACCCTAGAGGTTGTAAAATATTCCATTGCTCAATTTTTGAGCCTCTGAAATCAGTAAAAAAGATGTAACCAATTGCGTACACTCTAAGCAATTAATTAAATATGTATTAATTATGTGAAAAAAATCAAAATCATCAACGCTAATAAATATACAGATGAAAATAGATTATTGCTTTTCTCGACAACTTTTTCGCTCAAAGATTGACTTCATATTTAAAAATATAATGAAAAATATAGTATTTTATTACCTAAGTAAATCTTTCATCTACATTTTTACAATAAACCAACTGAAAGTGGCACAAGTTTATTTATCAGTGCTTGTTTTTCACTATTTATCTTGCCTTTCGCATATTGTAAGAGAAGGAACTACTTAATAAAATGGTTTATTAATGGATAAAGGCTGACGATGGCTAAAATATAGTTGAAACATTGGCACAAAAACGAGTGCTACATGTCGAGAAATTAATAAATATTAAAATCTCTAAAAACGAGCTGGTGCTTTTAAGGGCCATTTATTAACAATATTTGAATTTTTTTTTTATTTCAGAATTTTCCAGTTTCAAGCAAAGTAGCTGTTTCTTCTAATCGCTCATTTTTCTAACGTTTTCCGAAAAAATACTGACAATTTAAGGATATTTTCCGCGAACAATTTTAAAATACATTTTATTACAACATTCGCCTCCTTCGTCGTTTCTTAAAAAGTATTGAAATATTTTGCAGCTTCAAATTTAAGAAAAAAATCAAATAATTTTTTATTGAAAAGCGAACAGAATAAATACATACAGAATATAACAGAGAGTTTATAAAAACTCATCACTACCATACCTCTGAAGACTGTAGGGTCGGTTTAAAAATTGTGGATTCTTAGTTTTGATTGAATTTTTTTTGCTTTACTTTATACTCAAAAACGCTCTATTTTATAGAGTTTCACTTAAAAATACTGCGAATCTGGAGGTATTTTAGGCGAAAAATTACAAAATAAATTTGTAGCTGAAGGAAATTTACAAAAACCTTTTTCGACGTCGAATTCGGAACAAAAACAAAAATAGATTTTTCCATTTTTTCCGGAAAATTATTAAAGTTTTCTGAAAAACCGATCACAAAACTAAAAGTTTTCTATCGAAAGCGCAGGAAATCCATTATTTTCTAATGCTTTTCTTCTTTTCCGGCACCCATGTGGTATTTTCAGCCAAAAACGACATAACTAATTTTGTTAGAAAATTGGCCTCATGCACCGCTTTGTAGGAGATTTGTAGAAACCCCTTTTGAGCTTCGAATTTGGCGCAAAAACCAAATAGTTTTATTTCCTTTTTTCCCGAAGTAATTAAGATTATCTTGAAAAAACGACCAGCGAGCAAAAGTTTACAAAAAATTGTTTGGAAAATTCGCTACCCTCATCGCTCTTAAGAATTCCAGAAGTTCAGGTATTTTCAGTTTTAGCAAAGTTTTTCTTGCTCAACACTCAAACACTGACAATATTCAGGTATTTTCTGTAAAATATTATCAAATATATTCAATTGGAACACTCCCCTCTTTAACCGCTTTGTGAACATTTTTTTAAAACTTTTGTACAAAACTCTAATAATTCTTTCTGGGTTTTTTCGCAAAAATATTTTTTCGAACAGAACAAGCGAAACTTTATAATCAATTATTTGGAAAATTCGTCGCTGTGAATAATTTAGTTATTTTTAATTCCGGTTTCTTCACTTTTAGGTCAACATTTCTAAAGAAAACTCTTTCTGAACTGTGGCAAATTGAGGGTCTTTGAATCAAAAACTGAGCGTATTTATAGTTTGGTCTTCTTTTCATTCATTTGGTGTCTTTTTCGAATATCCATTTTTCCTTTGAGTTTGGGTCACAATCCAAACAAAGTTATCTTGTTTTTTTTTCTCAAAAAAATAAGTTTTCCAAAAAAACGATCAGAGAAAGCAAGGACATATGATCAACTATTATGGAAAACTCATTGAAATCTTCATTGCTCTGAAGAATTTTAAAGTTTCTTCAACATTTCCGGTTTTTCTCGTTTTAGACCAAAAACCAGAAAAACTGAATTTTTAAGCAATCGTTTAGACAGAAAAGCTAACTCAGTGAATTTTTAGGTGTTGGAGCAGTGCAAATGGCTTGGTACTCAGTAACTCAGTTCCGTTGCTGTAAAAACGATAATCCGAATTGTAAAATTCCAGTCTAGGGTTTCGTACAGCTTTAATCCGCTTTAATAAATGAGCCATGACTCATTCACCGATAAGTCATAACTCATTAACTCAGAGAGTGGCAACAACTCGAAAGCGCAACTCAACACAGTGTTACCCAGTCCTAATCAGCATCTCGCCTGAGCATCAGAAATGACTGATTTTCACACCTCTATTCTACACTTGAAAATGGAGCCAGAATTACAAAATCGAACATTCAAAAAACTGATTGTGTTGGGACAGTCACACGGATACCGGGTGTCATGGATTATAAGAAAAAATATAATAAGTTGTTATGTTTTAGATGTCTAAACATGTCTATACAAACAAATATATTCAGTGTATTCTCATGCACTGAAATTTGTTTCAAATATGCGGGGTTAATCAAAATGAGTCTGACTTTTGTGAAAGTCAACTCCAAACAATTGAGATTCGAAATAGTATGTTAAACCGAAAATATTCCAAATATGTAAAAGATTCAGAGGTTCCATTTAAAATGCAAAATTGCAGATACATTTCCAAAATCAAATCTAATCATCTTCAACTGATACCTGATTAACGGTCAAAATAGTAACAGTGTCATTAAAATTAGAGTTCACCGCCTTAAGAAATTGGAAATTCATTAAACCAGCTAATTAAATTGATTTGAAACCGACTCTAAATGTTTTATAACAACATACTTTTGCTGTTATTTCGTAGTTTTTGTTGCTTCAAATTACATCAGGTACTACAACTATCTGCATTGATTCAAAATTGGTTGGCTCGTTTCTTTAAACGATCGATATAGTGTATTAAACCTTTCTAATCAAGCGATGAAAACTAAGATGGCCTTAAAACTGCCATCATCCTTTGGAAGGACATCATTCGAAAGCGGAAATCAATAAGTTAAAATGGGATAAGTTGATAATTGAATACTAAAACCAATAAAACTGTGCAAACGTAGCACAGAGCAACTATAATTGTAAATTTGAATGATGTAACCTGTTTGCTAGCCTGGTTTGGTGGGTTTGACCGGAAGTTTCTGCTATTTACTAAGATACGCCAGTTTGATGATTTTGATTAGCAGGATGCGCTCTTTTAGCAACGATTTATTTTGATAACATTCCCCCATTAAGAGTTTTATAATCTTGTAAGTAGGTTTTTTTTTCTTGGAAGTGTGGAAAATTTATTTATCTGGTTGATGAATGCATGACTGGAACACGGAGAAGGCTGTAATCGCGACATGCAAGAAACAGTGCATTTCTGATTATTATAACAACAACTGACGATATACGCATAAAAAAAATGTGTCAATTTCATTAAATTTTCTTAATTAAAAACCTGTACAGTTTTTCAAATGTTTTCAAAAACTTGTCTCTTCGAAAATGGTTTCTTCCATGTTCAGCTTCCACACCAACTTGCTCTGCAACTTGAATATTCCTAAAATAGCGTGGATTTGCCGC